AGAAGGAGGCTCCCGAGTTCAAAGCTTCAAATTTTTCCTTAACAGATCTCGAAAATGCAACCATTTGTACTACGATACTCAATTTTTGCTTTTAATAAAAAGCAAAAAAGCTTATTATATTTAACACTGGCCTGGAAACTTCAAGAACTGTTGCTTTCAACAAGCTAGATGAAGTTATGAAGGAGGAAGACCAGCTATTTAAAATGTCCTATGAGTCTCCCTACAGCAGAAGACATTAATGTCCACTGACAGAGAAGCCTGACGAAGTTTTAGGCACAAATCCACTTGCAAAATTTGTGAAACATTCTAAAAAAAAAAGAATGGGTGAGTATCAACCAGACACCCATGGCTATGCTTGAACACAAGATAGAGTATGAAAGAGGTTCACGAAATGAAGAAACTGCAAAATATTTCATTTTTTAAGAAAAACAGCCCATGACGCACAGGCATCACTGTTCTCACAGCTTACAACAAACAGAGCAGGCATATAATTGTATTTTTTTTTTCCCCACTACTTTTCTGTGTTAGGGCACATCGTAGTCTTGGCCACTTTAGAGTGGCTCTCTTACAAGCTACAATAAAGCCCTGTCAGATCATCACTATATGCACGTGCTTGTGAGACTAACTGCACACAAACAGCTTGTCACTGCCTGAAAATCGTAATATAACACCTGAAACAGCTGATCTGAATTGTGGAATTGCTAAATGCAGCTTCTTGTGACGGAAACTGCTAGATAGACCTGACATCCATAAGTAATTGAAAAGAAACAGTGAATAAAATATATGAAACTTCTAGGAAGTAATGAAGAATAATAAAGGATTAGAGCCAGGGGAATTCACTAAATCTGTTTGCCAGGGAACTCTTTCTTTATACAACATTATTTTAGTTCAAAGCAAAATTCTATTTTCAAAGAGCTTCCATCATGGGAGAGCTTAAAAGTCAAATGGGAAAAATTAAAAAGCTAAGCACCAACAGTTACAAGACTATTGTAAAAAGCAGCTTTCAACTTCTACTTCTATTTCACCCTATATACAGGTGCTGGGGAGTTACTGAACATACCCCTGGGCAGGTGAGAAGGAACGCTCAACATGTGACCTTCACCCACATGAGGCTGTTTTATTTTACTTTACTTAGCAAAATTGTCACTCCAGGCTCCCTGACCTGGCTATGTGCTGGCTACCTGCACAGGGAGCACAAGGACGAGCTCCACGCAGGTTCCTTGCTGAGCAGCCACAGGAAGGCAGCAGGGTCGGGCTCGGAAGGGACTCCTGGGGCAGCCTGGTGCAAGGGCCCAGCTCGCAGCGGGGTCGCCTACAGCAGGCTGCTCAGGCCAGAGCCCGGGAGGGTTCTCAGGACTCACTCTCGGGGCAACCTGTTCCACTGCTTTACAGTAAAAAAGTGTTTCCTCGTTTTCAGAGAGAGCTTCCAACTTCAATGTGTGCCCATGGCCTGTCACTGGACACCAGTAAGAAGAGTCTGGCTCCATCTTCTGTGCGTCCCCACCCGGCATTTAAACACCCGGGCACAAACCCCTTGAGCCCTCTCTTCCACAGGCTGGATGGACCCAGGTCTCTCAGCCGCTCCTTGTTCCTCAGAGACTTCAGTCCCTTTAGCAGTTTAGAGGCCCATACGGTCCCAGGGATACTCACAATTGCAAATGTATCAACATAGGGCAATATGGCAACAAGAAACCACAGGAAGAGAACCTGTACATGGGCCAGGAGAGTAAGTGTGAAGCCATGGATGGGGAGAGGTCAGACAGGTTGCAGAAAAAGAATGAAAACATATCTCAGGGATCATGAGGATGCAGCAATATAAAGAATGGCTCTAGTTTCAGGAGCCCTCAGCTTACCAAAACAAACGAAAAATGCTCTAGGACATTCTTTGACAGAAAGCATTCTCAATCTGTTTAGCTTTTAATTTGATTAACAACATATACTCCTCACTAAGAAGAAAAATCCCAAGAGAAAAAGGCAGACAAACACCTGGCATGAACAGGATGGAAGTGGTTTCCTTATTAAATAGCATTAAGAGGCCAATAAGCCCTGTAAGGTTATAAGGTCATGTAACAGTTTCCCAGTACAGGAGCATCCAATTTCGTAGCCAAACTTGAACACATTCCTAGAGAAATCTATAGTTAAGGTCACCAAAGAGGCACACGTTAAAACCTCTGAATCTGTTTGATTCAAACAAGTTACTCATTCCAGCCCCACAGCACTTAAACATAAGACATAGTGATTCCTGGCACTCTTAAGACAGACATAACAAAGGGCGATAAATCTCATACAGGATGTCTATACTGGCAGCTTTTCCAACAAAAACATTCCTATCAGCCTTAAAAACAAGGTGACAGAAGCATAACATCGCATAAACACTCTACTGGACCACAATATTTTATTTACAGACAGATATAGAAGGAATGTGTCACATTATCTGATTAGAGCACAAAATCTGCTACACAGGTTACTATAGGCAATTTTAGATTGAGAGGAACACTCAAAAAATATGTGTACAAGACTATATACATTAAAAGAAATAAGGAGGGTAGCAACCACCACTATTCTTGCGTCAGGCCTCTAGCTAAAGAACCAGTTATTACCAGAAAGAATATTATCAAGAAAATTAAGTCATTTTTATTTTTTTTAGAGTCTGAAGTACTTTGGCAATTTAACTGAAATAAACACACACATCGGTCACTTTTATCTTCCACTAAAAATGCAACCAATACGCAGTGTTAACCAAAGTAACCAACTGTAAATCAAAAACTTAAGTTATGGAAGACCAAAAAGTCATTCATCAAGAATGAGGCAGACAGAACCTTGAAATAACAGGGAACTCTGTGCTAATACATTTATAATTGCAGTTATTGCCAAGTATTTCTTCCTTTACCTCTACAGACATTACTGACAGCAAAACACAAAACTTCTCTTGTCCATAGTGTAGAAGAGGCTACAGAATGCAGGACTGAACAGAGTGGGGATGCTGCACATTTCTGTGTGCAGCAAGAACACCGCAGAGGTTAATCAAAAACATTTCCTGAAAGGTACAGAAAGAAGCAATTCAATAAAGCAAGCAGCTTTTCCACAGAAGTCTGGTACTGTTCTATACCCTTCCCTTTACCTCTACATTCACATGCACAGAGATGGGTTTCCCACAGGCTTGGCAAGACCTCTGTGGAGAAAGGTCATTAAGGAAGCACAACACATGAGGAGAGCATGAAAGAGTAGAGGGAGGGATGTAAGAGGCAGTGCATACGAAGGCAGTGCATAATTCTGGGAGAGACCATCAAAAAACCCACCATGCAAAGGACGAAAGCAAACACCAATCTGCTTTCTTACCTTGCTGTCAAAAAGATCAGTCCATTTTGTTGTTTCCCAGAACGTCTCCGTCAGCGCCTCCGAGCAGGTCTCATCCCCCTCTTTCCCTTCTGCGTCACGGGAAGCAGCCCCGTCTTGGGCCTGCAGGTGCAGCAGCTGGTCAGCCAGTGCACTTCCTTTCCTACAAAGAGCATCCACTAAAGTAGTCTTCTGTTTTTCCATTTCACTGGAAGGGGGCGGTGGAAAGAGGGAAGCAAAAAAACCATGAAAATTAAGGCCCTACTGCAGACACATCAATAAGAACAGAATTTGTTTTACTCTGCTTTACTGAGTTTTAATTAAAATGATAACAGTAGTTATCACACACAATGAAAATAAGCCCATGAACATCATTTTCAGAACAAAGTTGTTTATAATTGCTTAAACTAATTGTAAAGAACTAATTGCAGAAGCTATAATTAGAGAAGTGATTCTCAGAAGTCTGAAATGCCTTTGTTATCTTAAGGAAAGGGCAACTCAAGATTCTAAAACTGAATAGGCCAGCATCTAGCAATACAGCTTTACAGTTCCTGGCATTAGAGAGTCAAATCCAGCACTAACATAAGCAGATACAATTCTGCTGACTTCAAAGGAATTGCATACAGTTATACCACCATTTAATTTGGTTTTCAATTTCAGATATTAAATTCAACCACATGATCTAATGGGTCAACTTACTTAGAAATGTTTAGAATGAAATTTATTAGGTGACAGCTTCATTTTTAAACCACTAACTGAAAAGCAGATGAATATTCTGAATAGCTAGAACAGACAGACTAGTTACACAATTGTAATCTAATGTTTTACCTAATGTAATTAACCAGTGTGTATTTCCCCTTCTATGTGCCTAATCTGATTTCTTGCTTGTTTTTGTGACTAAAACAGTACAACATGAAACGCCACAAAGTCCACAATCCATTCTCCAGGCTAGGTCATCACCTTCAAAATACCAAAATATATTGCTCTAAAGATGATACTTCAGAGGAAAAATCTAGAACCATGGTCGGGGGGAGGGAAAGTATGAAAAATAATCTAAAATGCAAGCATGGTCACCATACCTTTCACAAATAAACACTTTTTAAAGCAGTTACTTCCAAGACAGCTGCCAATTTTATCTCCAAATCCATATTAAAAGTGTTACAAACTATTTTGAAGATGCAGGTAGCAATCTGAATAAACAGCTCTATTTAGTTTTAGTGATCCCTCTGACTAAATATCAAGTTAGACACAAACTTAAATATATCAGCAAAGTGGGATATTAAATTCTGAAGTCATCCTTATTAACTTTATTTGGTGTTTTTAAGCAAATAAAGGAAAAAACCACCAGAGGGTTTCTAATTTTCTGTGTTCCTGTATTCTGCATACATAATAGAACCAAATGGTCCTGTAATCAAGTTTGAAACTGCCTGTGCCCAAACTAACAGAAGTTATTCGGAAAGATACAGTTATTTAAATTTTTATAAGCTGACACAAAATGTATAGATTACAGAAATAGGATGCAAGAAAAAATATTTACTGGGTAGGTACTTTTTTATAGTAGTTGCATCGGGTCTGGGATCAGTCTTCATAGCAAAATAAACTGCTAACGCTGTCTGATCTATACGAGATATTACAGTATTTGCAGCTTCAACAATTTCCTCAAGTCTTTTCATTCGTTCCTACAAAAAGAAAAAGGGATTAAAAAAAGTGTTATCAATAGAAAAAAAATCACCACACTCAATTCTACTAGGATAACTGCAAAGGTAGGCAGAAACAACACAAGATAATCCAACATGCCCTTTTCTTCACTTCCTCCAACTTCTGGCAGAAAACAACTGATTAGAAGTCTACATTAATATTTCACATCTGTGGTGAGTTTTACTGAAAATATGAGAAGTTAACACGTAAAACAAAGATTTTACAAAAAGAAAAAAACACCTCAGGATGAATTTATCTTTAGAAACACTGGTAGCAGTCACTGTTTTTTTGGAAATGAGTGCAAAAGAATCAAGAAAGAATCAAGCGTAGAAAAAAAAAAAAAAAAAATCAAACTACTGACTCCCACATGAAGCTGTTTATCCTCCAGTTTAAAAAACAGCACCACACACAGAGATAGGCTGGTTTTAATGGTTCATCAAGCTCGTTTTTGAGAACAGTGCCAGATGGTGTACTGAGCTGTGCCAGCAGAAGGAGTTACTGCCCTCAGCTGTCCAAGCAGTTATGCTACAAGCAGTCCCCAGCAGAGGAGCAGGACAGGACATGTGTGTGCCTTGGGTATCCCCCCTTTGAACAGCACTGCTGTGGTCTAAAACACTAAGGAAGCTCATAGCATAGCTCAACTGAAAAAGGAGTAAACAAGATGCAGAAATACTATATGCAGAAATACTTTCTTTTTTTTTTTTTTTTCCCCCAAATACTCTCAGGAAAACAAATCACTGCCAGTTAGGAAGGCAGCCAACTACATCACTGTCAATCTATTTATTAATTTTTTGTCACTTTAAGACAAAATGTTTATGAAAAAAAATGAAGGAAAAATATTCAGATTCAGTTGTTCAGGCTGAACAGATGTAATTAGACAATTCTTTAGTGTTAAAAAGGTAAATAACCTTTTCAGAATCCAGCTGATGAAGTCTTGCAACATACAATGGAAGATGATTAGGAAAGGCTTCTTTCAACTCATTGAACACATCAATGGTATCCAGCCTAGAAGACATAACATGGAAGTACAGATTCTAAAGTTAGTGTTTCACATTTTTGTCCTAACACTAAACAACGACATCTATTAATATGTTTTTTTTCTACCACTACTTCAGAATTGTACAACTATGGCAGGAGACATACTTAGTCATCCACTGTATCTTTAGGTCTCTTAAAGCTTCAGCAAATTCTTCTTTTACATCTTTTTCTTTTTCTGGTTCTCTTTCTTTCTCCTTGCTGCCATTTTTACTCTTCGATGGTGATGGTATCAGATGATAATGAACAGTAAGAACATCCTGGAAGTGGGAAGAAACACACACTGAGCAGCTGAGCAGGATACAGCATACTTTTCTGATGCTTTAAAAAAAGGCTAAATTATGGCAGGCAACTACTCTGAACTACAAAGACACTGAATAAGGATTCTGAGAGGAAGAGCATTAGTGTTACGAATTCAGAAATTGTATTACTACAGTATAAGAGAAGAAAAATTAAATCCCAGTTTGATGTTTATGTATTCAGATAATTTTATGTAATATACTTAACGGCATCAGAGAGAGAGATGTTGATCTAAGAAAAGTAAAAAAATTGGTTAAGAGGTGAAGGAATAAAATCAGTTAAAGACCCTATCCTTTGAAGTCTGGAAATAAACAAGTGAATGAAGTAGACTGAATTCTAAAGATAAAGTAATGGTAACATAAACACGAATTTGCCATAAGATACACAGGTACATTGCCACTCAGACAGTTATTTCTTCCACGAGCCTACCGAATTAGCTGGCACATCCAGGCAACTGCTTCCCTGTTTGCTGCTGCACCCTTTCCAACATCATTTGTATTTAAATTAAGTACACAGAATAACAGTGGGTTTTTTTTTGAAAACTCTATACAGGAATACTACTATAATTTGACTTCATGCTACACTATCCAGCAATTAGCATGAAAAAGTTATGTTTGGAATAAAAAACTTAATTGATCTCAGTTTGTGCTCTAAATCCCATTTCCTAAGATAATTTACATATAAACTTGGAATTTAGCCAGCATTCCTTTTCACTCATTGTTTCTAATATAAACAACTGCTGGGCAATTTTTTGTTATTCCTTGCGGTCAATTTTGTGATTTTTCAACAAAGTCCTCTACAAATACTCAGGGAACATGCCCTATTATTTTATATAAGCTATTTCACAGAAAAGATTTCTTGCACTTAAATTCTCCTTATAACATATGTCCGTTATAACACTCAAAACTAGTGTTTGCTGCTCAACTTATGCAGTAATCTAATTCTTCATGTCAACAATTCAAATCTGTATTATATGCATGAATGTATTTCCCATAAATCAATTTAGCGTTGTACTAAAATGAGATCTTGTACATGATATTTTAGATACTTAAGTAGTGAGTAAAAAGGTGATTAGTAACTTCTCAACATAATCTTGAAACAATAATCCCTACCACCACAACTTGGAACCTACTCGAGAACAGTGATGCCCAAAATCTTTATTTGAACTGACAGTTCAAGTTGAACAGCAGCTTGCCAAAGACTACTGAATATATTGGTTAAGACAAAGTGACATCACTTTTCCTTTGAACAATTCTTCCAGTTATTTAACATGTAGTTACAAGCGTACCTTTAAATATCATGGGTTTTGGTTAACAGCTATTTTTTTAAAACAGTTCAGTGTAGAAGTAATGGAACTTAAAACACAGCCATCACAGGAACGACTTTTTAGGTGTGCATGTGAAGAAGCACACGACCAATGAGGACATCTAAATAAGACTTTGGCAACAGCTAGGCCAGTGTATGACAAAAGGGGTCACTGAGGCAGGCAGTGGAGAATGCAGAAGTCAGGAAAATGGCACAGGCGTTTGCCATGGCCATTAGAGAAGTACAAAGCAAGATGCAGTTTGTAAGGGCAAATCAAACATGTTTAGGTAAGAAACTCTGAATGAGCAGTTTAAGGCGGGTTTTAAATAACTCCTTTACTGATATCAGTGTCTTTCTCAAAAAGAACTATGTGGATGAGCATTTACATTCAAGACACTTATGCTGCACACCTAGGTCATCAACAAGCAGTAACACATCACAGTTCTCCCAGCCAGATACGTTCCCATGAGGTTCTGCAAGCAGTGCAAGCAATGATCATTAAAAGGACAACCATGAACTTCAAATTCTGGCACCTTTCTTTCTCCAAAGGAGTTCACTGAAAACCGTAGAAATCCAGCCTCTTCCTGCATCCCACCAGAAAAAGCACCGTACAGAATGGGTTCCAGTAGCCATTCCCTTCTCCAAAGGCATCAATTTTAAAGAGAAATAATTGCCCACATGCATTTTACTAAACTACCACAAGACTGTAAAACAGACATCAGGCTTCTGCATTATCTTCATCACTCCATATGTGATCACTAGCATTAGTTATGTAAGTCCTTGCAATTCCTTAGTCACCAGAAGATCCCAGAAGGACACTGTCATTGCCTTTACAGTAAAACAGAATTTCTCTTCCCGTAGTAATGAATTCCACTGCTTTTCAAATGACAAAGAGGCAAAAGAGTATCAAGATACCAATTTCTGCACCATCCCCTCCTCAAGCCTTTTTCTGAAAAGTCTCTTCTGAAATAACCTGAAGAAATTTCCTTGAGCAGGAAAATAAGAGGCTCAAACACCTCGAAAATGTGAAATGCTTGCAGACACCAAGGATTTCTGAAGAGTATTCACATGACAAAGAAAGGTCTGTTCCTCAGTATACTTATATTCCCGGATTTATAGGAAAGACTAGGGGCCATCAGTTTCCTATACATCCCTTCCGCAAGCTAAGGTAGCTAGTTGGCTTTAACACATAACTTAAAGCCAGCTTTTTTTCTTAAAAGTAGTGCTGTGCCTGCTATTCGAGATGGCTAAAATACCACTGATTAAAATTTCAGTGAGCTAATGACAGCAGCAAGTTCCCTGCTGCAATGCCTAATGACAATACTGTCACTAGACTGTATGAATTGACGTGCGGTCAGTTACCGAAATCACTTCATGTTTGCCAGCACAGTTGTTCCAGCAAGCCTGAGCACGAGGCTACGCTAAGCAACATCCAGCAGGTGATGGAAACCTCTTCTAACGTGGACTGGCAACGGGAACTGCCATTCTCATGGGCAGAGATGGCTAGGCCTGAGTGAATGTCAACATACTGTGCTCAGTAAGCTGCACTGTTTACACTGAACATTAAACATAGGGGAAAAAAAGGCTACTATTTACAACTCGGTAAAGCCGTTTACTGCAGTTTAGGCAGTTTTTAATTCAAATTCAGTCTGCTTGTATCATGGCAACGACCCTGCTAGTGCTCTGCTGTTGCCTCAGTAGCTTTGCTTTTACCAGAACTACAGACTCGACACACACCAGGAGCCCTCAAAACAGTCAGCTCTTAAAAGAGCTTCATTAAAAGCTTAAATACTCTCTTACATTTCCTTAAATATTTAGATGTGAATTTTTGTCCTATAATTCAATCTCTGATACTTTATGTAGAAAAAACATATGAACCATCTTTATTCCTTCTTTAAAGAATTCCACAGCAAAACTAAGCACAGCAATAAGCTCCTTAAAGGAATGCTTCCCTTTCCCCATTTTCCATTTACTAAATACCATGTATGCCCATGGCAGACTGTGGTTAAGAGAATTGCAACTACTTTACCTTGCAAACAATTTGTTTAACACTATTTCTATGGCACTAACCTTATTTAATTGAAAATAATACAACTCCTCAAAGTCACCTGCAAACTTTATACAAAATTTAATCAGACACACACAGTTCATCCTCATTTTAAAGGTCACTGCTTAAAAAGGGGAGCATAAGACTAGCTAATGCCTAAAGGAAGTCACCCAATGCGTTTCCTCTTGGAGCTTGGAATGGGGTCTAATATCTACACAGTCCATTCCTTGCTTCAGGCAGAGCAGAGAAGGCAAAAAGAGCTATCAGTAGCTCTTGGGTGGACAACCCTGCTCTATGTGGTTAGTGAGATAAAGACCCCACTTAACCTGCGGAAAAAAGCCAATTAACTTTCTTGTTTGGTTATAAAAACCATTAAAAGTCTTCTTTTGGAAAAGCTAGGCTGCTATTTCCTAGCATAACTCTGCTTTTATACAAAATAAAAAGTATTTTCAAACTGCCAGAAAAGACCACCCTCATTTTTTGATGGTGTCATGCATGTAGATGTAACCTATCTGGGGGATGAGGGAGGCAGGCATTTTCCCTAGGTGAGTCGCCAATATCACAGCAAAGCCCATCCCTAAAACATCCCTTGCAAGAGGAGCAGGACGTGTCCGCAAAATGAGAGAAGAAAGATCTGTGTGCATCTTGACTGAACAGCTCACAGAGGGCTAAATGTTTTCCAGCATGAAAATATAATTCTGCAATGCATGCATATTTTAAGAGAACAGGGTGAATGTTCAAAACCTGTCAACTATGAAGCCTGCAGATTTGCAGTCTTAGAAAGAACCATAATTAAGTTCTTATGGATCAATGTTCTGAGATAGCATGTTTTATTTATCCATTGCTTAATAGGATGATGTCTCTTAAAAAGGTGGAAGTATTCAGAAAAGGAACTTTTATTTTGACTTAAGCAAGCATAGTGCTCAGATCTCAAAAGGTTCTGATCTAAAAACTGGAGGAAATCTGACCTTCTGGATGTATGCAAGAGGTTTTTCATCTGCAGATTAAATTAAAATATTCAAATGTTAACACTACCTCCCTTATCACAGGTTCACTTAGTGAAAACATTATACCCTGCCCAGAAAACGTTTTAAAATATTTCTGAAAGTTTCTGAAAGTGATCTGCACTATTTTATACACGGTATAAAAATAAAATAGAGGAAACAGGCTATATAAAAAGGGTTTTAATGCACAACTATGCTCCCATTTAGATATTACATCAAGATCAAACAAAGGTAGCAAACAAAGCCTCAGTTACCAGCTTACTTACTATTTTATTGCACTAATCTCTTATTTTGTTATTCATGATTCCTGTGTTGTATTTCTAACGCAAATCATGACTCTGTTTGCTTGCCAATCCAAAAAAACACATCTTGGAAATAAAAGAATGTAAAAATAACCTCAAATGAAGAAAGCCAGAAAAAACAAAATAGCAGCCCAATAAATGGCAGCCTATAGAAATAGTTCTAACCAAACAAAAACAAAAAAGACACCAAAAGAAGAAATAAAAAGGAAAAAAAAAAAAAAAACGCGCACAGACGTTTTCAGTCTCCATCTCAGAGCAGCATACTATAATAGCTAATGTAAGAATCTGAGAAAACATTATATTAAACATTACTGTGTTAAGGTCGCTCACTTTTCTCCCCCCACAAAATTGACGTAATTTTACACACACTACTAGATATTTTTTGTGAATTCTACCACCAGTATGAACAGATACATTTAGTCCACAATAGCTTGCAGTGAGCTATATTCAGTTCAAGTAAGAGTTAAAGCAGGATCTAAGAGGCTTTCCCGTCAACTCCATCACTCCTAAAAATGAGTGATAAAATGAGAGTTTATGACAATATATTTTCTATTACTATGATGGCAGCCAATTCCCAATTCAGCAGTTTTGATATAGAATCAAATATCTAGGTATATACCAAAATGCCAGGTTCAGTTTCAGTTCTTCATTTGCAGAAGAATGAAACAGCTAGAAACATTCCCTACAGAAGCTCTGACAAGAGACAGTGGAGATTCTCAAGTATTTTATAAAAAGAAAAGTTACAGAGCACTAATCACCACATGCATTTTTATGAAGCTATTGCACAAGTACTCAAATGTTTATGTTTCTGAATTAACTTTATATTACAGAAGTGTTTTGTCATTCTACCAGTAGACACGCTTAAGGTGCTGAAGCAAATAATCCAAGACTAGGGAGATAGATGAGGCAGACATTAATACTGGTAGACAAATTTAAATCATATGCAAAAAAAGACTTAAGTACATCTTTTTCAAAAACTAGCAATTCAGTACCTTTTTAAATTTTCCTTGTCGCTTTGCTGCAGACTGCCCCTGGGAGTTAGAATAACATACTGTAAGAAAACATGCACACACCACAGGATGGAGACACCTTCTCCGTACAGTTACGGTTATATTTCCAACCTACAGGTTTTTAAATTAAACTGTTATGATCAAACATGCTCTTAAAGCATGCTCTTTCAGATTTTAAGTCAATAAAACAATGCATTATGGTGTATACAGTCTCTTGTTCCTGTAAAACAAGCAAGTGTTGTTAACCACTTAGCTCAAATTAATGAAAATATAGAAATCCAGTTTCAAAACCACAGATTTTAGATTCAGACTGTTTAGTGGCACCATTCTATCTCATAACCACCACATTGAAATTAGATATACTTTTCCCACACTGCACTTGGTGAACTGGGGACAGCTTTGCTCCTTATTTCTTCTTTTGGTCTACAGGTACATACTGAAGTTCACTGAAGGCAGCAGAATAGAGCACTACTTAATATCAATCTTCTTCCAGTGAAATATGATCATCCCAATAATGCTTTGCAGTACAATGCGAGACAGGCCTCATCAAAAATTTCTCTCAGTATAAGCTCTATAGTTCTCTCCATTGTCAATAAATGAAATTTAACAAGTAATACCTGCTAACTACTACTTTCTATCCAAGAAATCACTGTATACAACTTTACTGTTTAAATAAAGACAAACAAGAATTGCAACTAAATGTTCAAGAAATTCCAGTATTCAAGTTAAGCAAACTAAACTCTGCTACTGCAATGAATTTTCCATGCATTTTATAAGAGTATATTGCAACCTTGCAGGAATCAAATAACAAAGAATTTTTAGCTAGCTACTAGTTTTCTTCCCTCATTAGAAATACAGCCTCCTACATATACATCTCTCAGCAAACATTAGCTAACTTGCAATTTCACCTAGAATTAACTTTCCCTATTGATTACAACTAGATCAGATTTAATGAACTAAACTTGTCTCTTCAATGACATATAAATGGCAATATATTCCCATCTTCTCACAAAAGCACATTATTTGAAAACAAGTGCTCGGATACAAGTTGTTCAGCCACATTTAGAAATATACAGTCTCACAGATGGACTGCCTCTAAATACTCATGATTGGCAGTAATTTAAATGTACTCTCAGTTATCTTCTATATAAATAGGCTGGAATGGCTAAGAGAATCTTCAAGATACCTTAGCACCAGATCCACACAAAGAGTTACCTGGCTACTTCAAACGCTGTTGCACTACAAGTTAATTCAAGTTAAAAAGCAGTTTCTACAAAATGTTGCATTATGAGTAAAACAAGAACAAAAAAAGGCACAAAAAAACCTTAAGCTTTTTTCCACCATGAAATACATTCTGTCGGAGCTTACTGTTGTACTAGTGGTTGACAACATCACAGTGTGCAGCAGGTAAGAACATTTGCTTAGGCATTTTGAGTCAACCAAATGCCTCATACTTTGTAAAAATAGTATGCAGGTATTAAGAAAGCACTTATTTTTGCCAAGAGCTGTACACATGCAAGGAAGAGTATATACATCTACTAGAAAGTCAGCATGCACAGAACAAAATATGTGGAGTTTTATACTTTTATCCATTCAAAAATGATATTAAACTAAGCAATTATATCAAACCATTTTTGAAGGCTGCCACACAAACGAAAAAGCAGTTGTTTGAACAAATTTTACAGATTCACCGTAAGCCAAGGAATAGTTAGAATTCAAATTTTTAAAAATAATATTTCAAATGTAATTAGAGGATGAAAATAAAACTACTAGAAGTTACTCAAATTTAAAAACAAACAACTGCTTCTAAAGTGTGTTAACAAACTGAGTGTTCTTTAAAGTATTAAAGCAAGAAATTACAACATTTCCTCGCATGCCATTCTCCTGCTCTGAAGCTTTTAGAAAAAAGAAATTATCGTTTGTTTCAAATACTCACAGCTTTCTTTCCAAGTTCTGTTTTAGACAGTGTAAGAGCTCCTGCGAGGTAGCACCCTGGTCCTGCTCCTTTAGGTATTCTATTTAAATAAAGAAATTCAATATAAAAAACAGGTTCATTAATGCTCCACTGAGACTACAATACTGAACCCAAACCCTGATCGAGCAACACAGGAGGAATTACCAAGCCTCAACAGACATAAACTACAAAGTAACATTTTAGTTTGGTTAATAGGCAGCTCATTAAGATTATATATACGTGTGTGTGTGTGTGTATATATACACACCCCCCACAGAAGGACTCCAACAACTTACTTGTCATCTGGCAGAGATGTAACAAAGAATGGCTGACTGTGTTTTGGTGGTAGTGTCAAACTGTTGGATTTCTTCTTCCCTAAGAGAGCAAGGCTATGGTTTTCATAAATATCTAAGCTCAAGGCATTAGACAACCTGTGAGAAACAATAAATGGAAGGTCTTTGATGCGATCCAGCTCACTGTTCTGTTCATGACGAATTTGTAACCGAATAGTGTAATCTCCTTTTTCCAGTTTCACAGAGTACTGAAAGAAAGAAGTTCTTGTAAGTGTCAAGATTAAACATACCATGCACCGAGAAACCCTGAAACAAACATCTTGTCTTCCATAATGTATGCATCTCAATCTTTTAAAAACATCTTTAAAATGCTAGGTTTCTTGGCCTTTAAAATCTTATGAAAATCATGTACTTCAAAATTTCTGAGACCAAATCAAAATAGGGACACAACTTCCACAAATATTCCACAAAAATTCCACAAAAGGACACAATATTTCCTTTGGGTTTTAGACTATTCTTTGAAGACCTGACAGATACTTTGCCCTGATTCCACAGGGCTTCCATATATGTATGGAGGCATACACAGATAACACTATCCTTACTTAAAAAAGTAAAAGATCAGATTCTTAGTTTTGAAAATGTTATTTTTCCCAACCTAAATGGGCCTATATGAATGTTTTGGGCAGTAGTATGCTAGGTTGGACTTTGCTGCTGCTTCTGAAATACACAAGGTAGAGTCAAGAGCAGCAGGCTTTGATGAGTAAGCCTTATTTAACTAATAATCCACAATGACACCAAGACTTTTTCATTGTTGTTGTTCAGACATAGCAATTCAGCAGTTGTTTCTTCTTGTGCAATTTTTGCCTGTATAGCAATAAAAGCAATACAACTGCTGTGCCTGTACTCACACTATATTCATCTTCCCACACTATAGTAATAACTAAGGTTCAGAGTTATCAGAACTTTTCTGTACTTTTTGCATCAATACCAAAGGTCTCAGACTTTTGCTCCATTCGTTTCAGGGCAATCTATCAACGTAACAGCAGACATAAATTCAGAACAAAATCCTGATCACTCTCGCTCAATGGCCAGTGAGCCTGGAAGAGCATAAAGTTAAGATGTTTTCCTTTAAGCTAAAGAATTAAAAGACACGAGCTGTCTCGGTCAGATCTAAGCCAAAAAATCACATGGAAACACCTTTAAAAGCTCATCCTCTGATGCAAGGGATAATTCTCCAAGCATCTCATATGTCCCCCACTAAGACTTTGTTCTCAGGATAAGAGAAGCCACATATAGAAGGAGGAAAGGATCAAACAACTGTGGAAAGAGACATTGGTTGATAACTCCTTCTCCCAGAATCAGTTTAACGGGTAATAGAGTCATGCTTCCTGTTGATATTTCTTCCTGGATTTACAAATTTTGAATTGTTTTAGATCTTTTTCTATGATGCAGAACATGAGGCGCACACAGCAGTCCGCTAACCATAAGTACCAGACTACTGCAGCATTTTTAGATATTATAGTACATTAAACATGCAGGTTAAGTTTAAACATTTTAAATTGCGAACCTAATTTATAAGGCTCAGAAGACATGAATTAAAGTGGATCTTAATATTTATGATTCCAGAATCATCAATCTAGCAAAATTAACACCAGATTGATGAAGTCCAAGTGTGATCTCAGGTTAGCAAAAATAGTTGATTAAAAACATGAACTAGGTAAAATTTTTCCCCTTTTGCCTTTTTCTTCTCCTGCATAAAATCCAGATCCACTGTCTTTCCAATGGAAAGAGATCCCTACAAAGGGTACAATATTTACTAGTCTGGTCTAAAAGCAGCCCTTGAAAGACAACAATAGAAAGTAAACAAGCTGCAACATTTAAAAAAGGCTGTTCAAAGACATTTATGAAGAACAGCCTTCATGGACACAAATCTGTGACAAGACAACTTGAAATAAAATAAAAAAAAAAGTAATAATAATAAATTCCACAATTTAACAGATGCTTTTCATCTTAAACAGAAACGTTCAATGTATCTTTGTAATAAAGAAAACAAAAAAGCCACCCTAGTAAACATGAATTTGAGTTCATTCTTGAGCAGCATGGGTCAAAATGGCAAGAAACCAGAAGTTAACAGCTTCTCATAGAAATAAAGCCATAAAACACCTCCCTTGGGAGAAGAAGGTGTTCCATCAAAAAAAATCATCAAAATAAAGGTGGTAGCTCCCTACTGAAACACATCCCTGAAAGATACTGCCCTTGTACTGCAGTTCTTCACATTATACCTATGTATCAGGACCTGCTGGGAGTTAAAAGCAGGCTTGGGAGGTCAAAGAGAAATGAAACTCATATATCAGGAAGTAGTTAAGTAACAAACATATTGCTCTGTACCTGGTGTGGATAAGCATCTCCTGACCCCATTTGTCTTTTGTTCTGGTCAAAAATAATCCACAGTTGACTATCAAATTCAGATTCATACAGCAGTTCACAAAGAAGTGGACAGCTTGGAGTTACTTCTCCACTCTTAGGCTATAAAAAGAAAGGTCAAAACATTTATTCCACTGCTGAGTGAAACAAGCACAATTCTGATGTATACATTCACAAGAAGATCTGAATTCACACGATTTCAAGCAACAGCAGCTCCTAAAAAGCACCAAGTCAGTACTGAATCTAGAGAGCCCGTCTGACTCTAGACTCCATTTCTGACAGGAATCTACTTAAAGCTGAAGCTATAGCTTTATGTATGCTGTAGCTATACTCTTATTGTATTCATTAATGACAAACAGTCACCAAAATATCCCTTTACCTGATGGAAGTTGTAAGTCAAAATCATCTCATATAGTTGACGATTATTTGGTAAAATATCTCTGGATCCCAAAGGTTTTATTTTTGCACTCACTGGTCTGCAGTTAAAAAAAAAAAAAAAAAAAAGGCATCACACTAAGACACATTCATGCTGTACCAAAACCAGAAGCATATTCTGAAATACTGCTCAATTTAGAATGTGCAACCGTTTCTCTTAAAATACTGTAGCTATCCAAACACTGTAAAAAACAAACAATCAAACAAACTTCAATTACAATGGAAGTCAGGTTTAAAGAAAAAGGCTTAAAAGGCTTACTGACATCAGATATTGCCATATACAGAAGCCAGCAGAACTTAGCAAACACACCTAATGCTCAAAATTAAAGGCCATGATATACTGGAAAGATCAACAGACTTCAGGATTAGGGGAAAAATACAGCAGGTTACTTTACATCTCCAGTGTCTGTGTTGCCATCAGCACTTCTCACAGGCTGAATAAATGGCAAGTAATCTTCAGGACAGAAAAAGTAGTTTAGTTGATATCTGTTTGATACAGAAAGGTTCTTTCAGAAGAGTAAGAGACTTTGCAGAAAGCAGAGTAATAAGTCCCTAATGCAAAGGAAGAAGCTCAACCAAAATTACTCATCTGGAAACTCAAATAGAGTTGGAAGAAGCCATTCTTCAGAGTAACACAACTCTTAAACTCTTAAAACTTATACATCAAAAACTATAGGCCAAATAATATCAAGATGGGGAAAAACCCACAATTAATGGAAATAAAGTAAAAGCAGAATTAGTGACTAGTGTAACACAAGGTTACATTTCACACGTGCATTATGATAATCTTCGTTTTATGACCATGATTTTTCCCCATCACCTCCTTCGGTACAAAGAGCACCAGGCTGGAATAGGGGCCGGGGTGTCTGTACTGGGTCAGAGCACATGTCCTTTCAGCCCAGGATTCCTACTCTTAACAGGGATCAAGTAGGAACCGCTGACAAAATTGTAAGGAGAAAGCAACAACATGGTATGTCCCCCTGATCTCATCCCATCTCCAAGCACTTGAAATTCAGAGACCTAACGAGAAGCCATTCAGGACTTATTTTTCTCTGCATTATGACTCATACTGCATTTGAGTCACTATTCAAACTTTAATTCAAATACATAAATATTCCTCATTAGCTTTCTTAAATGGAGTTCATTTGCTGTCAAGATCAGCACCTCCCAAATACTACAAGGAAATAACAGCACTCAAGAAGGAAGCAAATACACATTAGGGGATTGCTTCATTTGTTCACTTAAGGCATATGAAATCAGGTTTTTCTGAATTTAGCATTAGGTAGCCTGTACTTTCAACTCCAAGCTCCAAGTGATCTTGACTCTAGCTTTTGAACAAGAGTCCAAAAGTCTCAGTCAGGCACCAAATGAGGGGCTTAAGTAATGGGAAATGTTAAATTCTTCATTAATCCTGGCCAATTGTCTGACCAGGATTCTTGGCCCAAGCCCTAGAACTACTGCGTAAGCTGTTTGGCATTTCTCTCTTCCCTTGAAGCTCCCAGTCTTCTAAATTATTGCTCTGGTTAGGAAATTTCCAACGAAGCTTTCCCTCTGAACCAGCATGCGTCAAACAAATGCAACTTTTCCCAAGAAATTTGACAGCAGGTTTTTTTGAAGTGTCATTCAAAAGAAAAGACAATCGGTTCCTGTCTGATCTCAAGTGCTTTACTATATTCTGAACAACTGCAGTATCCACAACATTTTAAATCAGGCTGGAAATTCTTAATATTTAGTTGTTATAGCTCTGAGAAATTTCTACTAAAGAGGTAGCAGCTTTAAAGCTAATTATCAGGTCAAGCTTAGATAATTTTTCCATGGTGATGGTAAACAATACATTCTTCTCAAAAGGCATACGACCTACCAATTTTTATGCTTGCAAGACTGCTTCAAAAATACAGTGGCATCAAATAACTTACCAAAATTTATTTCTTTAATTATTATAATGTATTTTACCTCTAGTAATCTCCCTGGAAAACAATGAAATACTTTTGTGTTTCGAAAAAAAGAAACAGCCCAAGAAAAGTAAATTGCATGGAAGAAGTCACCTTAATTATGCAGTTTTAACAAGATTAAAAAGGAACAATAAAGAAAAAATTGCAAAATTTTTCTGCATGATACTTCTAAATCTACTTGGTATTTCTCAAGAACACTGATGCTACCCTGCATTTTGCTGTTAGTTTGGTACTCTTTCAGCCACATACGAGTAACTAGTCCGCTTTCCCGCATCAGTTTCCCAAAATCTCTACCTGAGTGTTTGAACCCAGCTTTTCAGATTTATGCATGGAGCAATGTCTTCGTACTTCAAAAGGGACTGAACATCAAATCGCACGATACCTTCTGAAGCATGCTGGAAAAAAAAAAAAAAAAAAGGAAAACAATTACGTTTTTATGCATTTAGGACCTAATTTATGTCAATCTGATGTGCCTTTCAATAATCCAATGCAAGCTGTGTTTTTCTGTATTAAAAGAACAAGTACCACTTGATTTTGGAAATGTCTCAAGCTCTTATCTGTGTAACAGATACGCTACGACTTCTGAAACTTCAGCAGTCAGTCACTAGACTGCACAAGCTTAAATAAAGCCTTATTAGCAGATAATCTTGGAAAAAAATAAAACCATCTACTGTTCTGGAAGATAATTTAAGTACTTAACCTAGTGTGGGAGTTTGGACATGCTTTAGTAGAGACTGCAATGTCCATCTCCTCAACTACCTCCTCTTTTCCTCTTTCACCAGTTCAGGACTGGTTACCTCAGCAAAACACCACCTCTGCTTCCTCTTCTCTGCCTCTCACCGTCTGCCCCTGCAACCCATCTCCTGCTTAATTCTGCTCTTAAAGTTGAAATAAATCTGACTTCACACATAAGAACTTGGATTTGCTCTGGCCCTTGACTGAAAAAGAGAGAGAAGCCAAGAGAAGCTGGCACAGTGTCCTGTGGTCAATGCTGCAGGTAGTGCCCTCTCAGTCTAGTAAAGTGCCCTCTCCTAAGCAAGAGGAAGCCAAGCCAGGCTGAACACTACAAAAACGCAGGAGCAAGGCAGACTCTGAATTTTACCCTAATGTTTCTAGTAACATTTGACTTCTTTGGCATCAAAGGCTCTTCAGAGTCATGATATCACAGAATCACAGAATGGTTGAGGTTGGAAGAGACCCCTGGAGATCATCTCTTTCAATCCCTCTGCTCAAACAGGGACACCTAGAGCCCCTGGCACAGCATGAGCACGTGGCACAGAGTGAATATCACCATCAATACTGTGCCTTCAGCTGTCCTGAACTGTGAGCCTCAAAAGCATATCTCAACAGAACACAAGTCTGAACACACACCTGAAGGCATTTATTGACATGTAATTTACCTACATTTAATGGAAAAAGATTAACATCATATAAATATAGGCATATATTTATATATATACGTAACATATAAGTATGCCTTCAGTCTTCCTAAATACGAACAGGGGTAAAAGCTATTTTTATTCTGGGATATGTCATAAGACTATGAATCATAAGACTATCAAGACTAGCAATTCAAAATAAGATCTCAGAGGGGTTTACCATGTTCAGCTGAGGAGAAGCACACAGCACACCATGAAAAGAAATGGTGTAATTGATGCTGACATCGCTAAGGCTTGCCCACCACCGGGCCACACAGAATTCAAGGGTTTTTCCAGCCTGGATAAAAAAAGACAACATTTAGGCACAAGCTCCCATCTTTTCCTTCTATTCACCCCACCTTTCTCTCACCCAAACAAAAAATAAACAAATGAAAAAAGAATAGAGCTCAAAAACACCTGGTTATGTCTAGTCTACCTCAAAAATCTAGGTTTACACAGAATCAAATGACATTGGGATTGTCCAGAAGAGACAGGACAGTTCCAGCAAAACAGGACATTTCATTATTCCACCAAAACAAAGAATGCCAGAAGTACACGCTGCTGGGAAAGGTCTGACTTCCATGTGTTACATGCCCCTCTCTGCCCTTCACGCTATGCAGGCTGGTTAGTTCATAGATGATTTTAACTGTGTGTGCACCTTAGAAAATGAATATTAGAGAAGAAATCACCACTCTTTGCTTCAATAGGAAAATAAGCTTTGGAAGATTTTTTAAGTGTGAAATGATAAAATTCACAATCTATTGTTTGGGGCAGACTTAGTTTTGGGCTGCCTATCTCCATTTTCAAAGAGGGTACTGAAAAGTAAGAAAGACTGAACAGCACAGAAACCACAACCCCTCCCAGGCTTTAGGGCTATTATGGAGGGAGGAATGTTATAAAGTTATAAAGACCTTTTCAAAATAGACAGACTATTATATATATATATAAAAAAAAAAAGAACAAAAAAGAACAAAACATAAAAAACACTTCCAACCACACAATTTTTTTTTTTTTTTTAAAAAAAGGTGAATAAAATTTTGAAATCAAAGTGAATAAAGGGGTTTTTTTTGTGCTAATACACTATTTTTTTTCTGTCTTTCTTCCCATTCCATCTCCTACCCCAAAGAAACTTACTAAGACTGGAAATGCTTCAGTTACTGATCCTTTTTCTGGTAATGATGAAAATTTATAGAACTCATGGCTTCTATATGCTTTTTGTTTCACTAACTGAACAGCATGAAGAACAAACTTGGCAGTCACATCAGATGAACATGAACATACTGTCACTTCTAGAATAAAGCAAAAAAAAGGTTTAGTTTCAAGGGACAAAAAAATGGAAGAAAGGGAAGCAAATTCACCAGCAAAAGACTCTAGTTTCAAAAGTTACTTGCAATCTAGGCAGTTACACTGTATGCAAGTGGTTCCACATGTGAATAATACTTATGTATCAGATAATCTGAAAGTGTCTTTGTAAGTAAGGAAAACCACCTAAGTTTAAAGATGAGCAAAACTAAAAACTGACTCTTTACTGAATGGTGAAAATTAATCAGTACCAATTACAGCACAAACTGCTGCTGAATTCCAAATTAAGAGTTTTAACACTAGCTTCAGACAAATGAAAGGCTAGTAAATAAAAATCTTTTTGGCACCCTCTCATAGAAATCAAACCTCCTCATTACAGAATTAGGAACTACTTGACATAATACAAATCATATTGTCTTTGGTTAATACATCTATCATCTCAAAAGGCAAACCTCTGACAAAAATACTCTTTTATATATATATATATGTATGTACAGGAAAATCCCTCCAGCAATGTACAATCACTTCAGATTGTATTTGATAGTTTCTAGCAGACTGAGTGAGGATCCCACCACACCAGAAATCCTAAGACAATTTAAAGTCACTCCCTAATGGCTAAAACTCAAATAACTATTCCATGGTATAAGTCAATATTACCAAGTTCTTACTCAAGCTGAAATTCTTTCAACACAGATTCCAAGGTAAGTTTGCCAGTGTGATCATTTTCCTTACCAGCCCACGTAGCTCCCTGTGGAACATCAATGAAGTGCCTTCGGATCTGACCAGGTTTAAAATGAACATCCTTATATGTAAGGTCGTAGCTTGATGATTCATCTACTCTGTAAATCAAAAAAGGAAATTCAAAAGGTCAATCAAATAAAATTTTTTCCAATATATTTTAAAATAGATGTTATTTGCTGTAGAGATCCTAGGTCATATGCAATGCAGAAGGAACCAACTAATTTATTTCTCTGCTTCACTATACTTCTTACTATTCTCAATGGCTTAACTCCAAGAGAACAGTTCTTATGGGGCATGTCAGGTATGGGGTGCTATGGGGTACTATGGGGTCCCTATAGGTAAACTGGGTAAAGCAAATTAGCTAAACTTAGAAAAAGCGAACAAAGTTTACTGACCTTGTTGGTATAACAACAGTTATTGGAACTCTGAACAGAGGGCCTGCATTAGGCATAGCTATATCATATCCACACACCTGACAAAATAAAATACAGTTTTGATTATAGTCAAATGTAAGAGATACCATTATATTCAAACTAGTTGCAGATAACTTTGAATGTTTGTAATCAGAGACCGTCACTTCAACCACTAAAATCTTAGAAATAGGAAAGGAGATTTAAGGGCTTTTCATGTTTTGTTTACGGTTTCAACTGACAACTGATAGTCCCCATATCAAAAACTAGACCTAATTCCAAACTCACAATCTGCTCCAAACATACATATTTTAACTTTTTTTGTTGTTGCATTAAAAAAATCTTTTCCTCTGAGTTTCAGGTTTATGTTTCATAAAAAAACAGTTTAATTAACCAGGCTTTTCACATCCAAGTCTTTGACATTTGTTCTGCTCTGTCATGATTTTGCTAAAATGTTCTCATTGGTACTGCAAAAGTCTAATAACTCTAAGCATCTTAGCAGCTTGGTATTAGAAAAGACCTGCTTATCCTTAAAACAATCAAGTGTAATGCAAGCATTTTAACATTAGTATGAAGTTCGGGATGAGAAAGGTCTCTATCCTCAGTAACAGTATTTTATCCCTGCATATCTGAAACATATTTGATTTAAAAAAAAAAAAACATTAAAACATAAATGCAACTATTTATCAAAGTCTCAAAGGTATGTGCTACAGAAAACACCCCATAACTACTGTTGAACCCTGGATTCAGCCAATAAAGCAAAACAGAGGGCAGCAATGTTCTGTAGTCTGCACAGAACAGCTTTTACTTCTTTGAACACTACTTCTTGAAGTAGGTGATAGAGACCACATGAACACAGTCCTGCTTCAAACGCGAGCACTTTTATACCTCTGTGTAATGCAGTCCTTCTCTCAGACCACGTGGATCCACACGAATGTTTATATGTCGACACTGGTTCATAAGCTCTAGGTGAGTAGGGCACTGAACCCACGGGGCATTTGAAGTTAAAGCTAAATGCAGCTGAAGAGAGATTCTTTCAGTGTTTTCTGTCAAAAAAACAGCAACAAAACACAATAATAAGTGCTTGGATTCTACCATAGCCCAATATTTGCTATTAAGATGGACTTACCTCAAAGAAAACTAACAGAAACAAAATAGTCCCCAAATGGTAATTTCTTCACAAACATTGAGCATTCTGTATTATCTCTTATCTCTTTTAAAATAGAAATAGCAGAATATAACAAAAGTTGACATCCTGCTTTGAAATTATGTCTCATAAAACAACCAAACTTGACAAAGTTGAAAGTCACAGGCAGCCAACGCCTCAGTTGCTCATGCCATAATCTGAAAATAAATGTACACATTCCTGTACAGAGCCAGAGGCTTTCCCAGAGAGAAATAAAATAGAAAACAACTAGGCTGATCCTGAAAATTATTACCAAATTGCATTATAGCAACCTTAGTAAAGGTTAAGCTCTCAAAATTAAAAAGGACTACTGTGATAATTTCCTATTTCCTTTTACAGAATTCCCACAAAGTACACCCAAATTAGGCATGTCTTTTACAAAGCACCTAACTCTGCAATTGTTCAGTGATTAAAAGTCATCTATCATTCTTATGCTGCTCTAAAAACAAGAGCCACTTTAAAGAAAATAAAAATCCATTATTTCTATTCTGACTTGGCCTTAGTCTAATTTTCACACATTTAAATTCGTTACGTCTTTGCCAGGAGAGGTCTCTGCTACCAGATGTTCTTTCCTCACAGGTACAACATAAGCAGTCAGCTCAAAGGGAACTTCAAGGGACCAACCGAGCAGATCGGCCTCCCACGATCTCACAAAATCTCTCAAACTCTGGTGTTTTTGAAGATACCAGGCAGAGCACAGCCACAACAACTGGGCAGGTGCTACAGAAACAACATAATGTTGCAAACTAATTTTATTTATTATAAAACTGTTTTTAAACTGTTTGCTTCCTGCCAAAATAGAGTCCTATATATGAAGGATTATTTTATTTTTTTACTGTCATGTTGTCAACCTAAACACCACATGTCAACACCACATTGATTGCAACGTAACCTATGAAACAACAGGATTACTCTGAATCAGTAACCCATCCTCATCCATATCAACTCTTCTCCTGAACACTCTCACCATTTTTCATGTGCCAACTTTGTTCTGGGTCATCGGTTTCAAGAAATAAATTAATCTCAGTAACAAGGTCTCACACAGATATTTCTGAATGCACCTTAATTTAGCTGCTCAGCGAGTCCAAATTTATATTTAGCAAAGCAAAGCCAGCAAAATGCTTTACGGTAAAAAATAGTTCTTGTCAAACCCATTTTGATGGGTATCAGTTACTCATGTCAAAGCAGTCAAAATCTTTCAGTCCCTTTCTGGTCTGCTTTAGATGTATTTATGCTTATCCATTAGTACCAAGTCCATTTTTGTTTTCTGACATTGTGAAAATGCAAAGCCTAAAGCTAGAATGGCACTTTTAAATACTCTGAAACAATTCTTCCATGTTCAGAACAATATCCACACATTGTCATACAAAAAAGAGAAGTTCTAAAATTTTGTGATATGTGAAACATTTTTTCTTACGTTTCCTCTGTCCCCCCTCCAATCTCATTTTAGCTTCTACAGAACAAAGTTTGACCTCTAGAGGTCCCTTCCAACCTTAAGCATTCTAAGATTCCATGATTCTATGATTTTTAGTTTGGTGAGAGAAAACATGAAGTGAGAGAGTCACCAAGAATACAGAAGTACTAAAATTAAATATGTGCGGTTAGAATGGAAAAGTCATTTAACCACGTGTCTTCATTTATGAATGAAGTTAGAAGAGCTGCACACTTTCTTCTTGGAAAACCTCTCCTCTCTCTCTAAAAAGTTCTATCATTTCTCATCACAATAGCTTTTGCAATTAAAAAATTAAAAATTTTTCCTCATACAAATCAAGTCCTTTCCCACCTGTATTCTCAGGAAACACAGGTTCTATGCCAACCCCATGATCAGAAGGTGCTGTTATCTGGGCAGGATCTCTGAGGTAGATTCCACGGTTGCTTCCAACAGTAACTGTATAGCCTATGTTACTTGCAAATGATGAGTTCTGAATGAGGTAGTCATAGGCTTTATCAACCTATTAGAAAGAACATACTCCAGATTAACCAATTTCAGGTTAATAGTCATTTATATACATTCTTCTATATGAAGCAAGCACAGCAATAAATGGCAAGGTAATTTACAAGTCATTTGAGCCATAGAAACTGCACCTTACTTCCGATGATACTAAGTATAAGACATGGGTGAACACTTTCAGTTTGCAGCTGCTACACAAAGCACAAAAATACTGAAGACCATTTAAAAACATCGTATAACACCTCTCCTTTGCTATGCATTCATTAGAGGATGCACAACAGAAGTTTTTAGAGATGAATTCAGAGACTAATGGCCTCAGAGACTCTTTCTCATATCTGCAGCAAAACTTATTAAGCATCCTGTTTTGAGTTTAAGCAAAAGAGCAACAATTATAAAAATCAGAAAACTCTTTTTTTGTTAAAAAAAAAAAAAAAAAAAAAAAAACAGAAGTCCAGCCATCCTCCTTTCTACTGACTCCAAAAACCCTACAGAGGATTAGGCCACTCTCTGAGACAACTGGACACCCAACAGCCTCTATCCTCCAGGTCATGGTAAATGTTTTAATTGGACTATTAAATTACACCAATCTTATGATTTTTCTATGGCAATGTTCCTATTTACTATGGCCACTTTTGTTGTCTTCTTCAACAAACTCAGTGTTAAAGATGAGTTTAGAGAAAAATCACCTACTCGTTCCAAGCACCTTAAGAACTCTGAGCTTAGGGCTGAGCAAACTGATTAGTCAAAACTTAAGCACAGGGAGATTGTCCAGGTTTTCATCACACAAAGGATCAAAACACAGATTTCCAAGCTACTCAAAAATCCACAAGATTCAATGAAAGCTCTGACTTAGCAGTGCAGGCCCAGACCCAAGACCTCATAGAAGTTCAGCTGTACTACTCTGAACCAGAGTGGGTGTCTCTAACTTCATTCCCCAGAAATTACACCTCCAGCACTTATTCACATAATCATCTCTCTCTGGTAACAATATAAAAAAAGAGAGTTAGACACTAAGATTTTGGATTTTGACAGAATAAATAGAACATGCGGACGCCAACACCCTCCTACTTCATATACCCATACACTTTTTCGGTCAGTCTGAGAACGTGGCTTGTTAACAAATTTATTCTATTGTAATTCCATGCTGAAGCTGGAAAACAACAAGAAACATTAATTCCTCCTCCCCTCCTACTACATTCCCTTGTTTTCCCAGAATCAGATCTAAAGATCAAATGCCATAAGAACTAGCTGAATTAACTCATCCAGAAGTCGGCACTTTCTGGTGGGCTGTTTTCACTGTTAGCAAGTACCTGAATAATACCATGTCCTTGTGCAAATACTTCTATATTTTCAGCTTTCACTGCAGTATTTTCTAATGCTCTTCTGACAGAATGAACAGTGTAATGAATGTCATTAGCTTTGAGTCCTGAAATTAAAAATAAAGCTATAATTGAAGACAACAGAAAACCCAAGAAAGTTATGTTATCAACAATGAAATGTTGTTAAACACATCACAGCAAACTTTTTTTTTTTCTTAATTTGACAAAAAGTGACCAGTATCTTTCACACTAGTCAGCAATATTTAATATTAAAGCATATTCTTACCTGACAGCACCAACGCAATGCCCCCGCAGGCATTGGGTGAAGACATGGACGTGCCGTTCATGAGCTGCGTTCCTCGCAGAGTCCAGTTTGGGACAGAAGCAATAGCACCTCCCGGTGCACTGATACTTACTCCAAGAGCTCCATCAGTGCTGGTAAAAGACAGAATTATTGAAAAATCAAGCATTTGCTCCTACCCACTTTTTAGTGAAGGTGCTACTGTACCTGTTAGTAAAGCTACCTTTCCAAATGTATGTTCTCGAGTATGTTATTTTATTAAATCCCTTACTCCTAAGAAAGCATTCCACTAAATGATAACTTCAAATGTCATTAATCATCAGCTATGCCTGTTTTCTAAACTTTTAGAGGAGTAATACTCCAATACTTTTGAACTTTTTAAACAGTTTTTACATATCAATCAGGCTTCAGTTTAGTCAGAATATCTTCTGGGATCTGAACCAAAAAAGGCATACAAACAAGCCTATTAGGCACACTTAAATACACAATTGAGGACTTTGAGTTTACTTGGCCTTTATTATTTTTTAAGTAAGGTTAATAACAGGAAGGAGGAGAAAAAAAAGAAGAGATTCAAAAGAGTAGTGGATGTGTATGGCACAGTTAAAGATGTACTTAGATTTTTATTGTTAAGAGCTAGACTTGCCCTATCTCCCTTGTTCTGGAGAGAAGAAAAAGACACCCCTTGAACAACCACACTGCTGCCCCTCAGCTAGGAAGTCCTGCTGAGAAACAGGGTATATTTGTTTGACTTAAGCATATTAAGCTGTTAGGGTAGGAGTTAAGTTCTGTCTTAAGTCAAAGTACGGTCTGCACACTTCTGCAATTCAGAGCTTAGACCCATTTTATGACAGCAGTATAAACAACAGGTTTTGAACCATTATACTTATGGCTAAGCAGTACACAGCAGATCTACCCAGAAAGCTCCAGCGTTTACTCAGAGAGACTAATCTCTATCCCAAGCAAACTGCAGGAAAGCTTTAGGGACCCCACAGCCACCTGTGCACAACACACTAATGCAAGGGGAAACCTCCTTTGGCCAGATTTGGGCCTTTCCGTTCATAAACAGTCAATTTCACGCTGTAGGAGAAAGGTCTCCTGCTCCAAAGTAGATTGATCTTTCACAGATCTGCTTTGGAGCAGAATAATCAAACTTTTGAATAACCAAGAAGCCCTTCTGTTCTGAGATTGAGGGAGACAGCCACATTTCTGTATGTGGACCATGATGATGTTGCACAGTAAGGTTCTTGGAGCAATGTATCTGCCTGTCAATATGCAGACACTGATAGATCACCTCAAAGAGAAATGCTATTAGGGAGGCAGATGCTGTGCAACCAGCCGATAAATCAAGGACCAATTATAGTTTCTATTTTTTGCTTTCCTCAGTAAAATATAGGCTAACTTACTTTTTAAAAGTATATATACATGATTCATGATTTACAAGGACAATTTAAAATTATAAACACAGATAAGAACTCAGGAAGGAATGTTTTTTTCTTTTTTCCTCCTCTCAACTATGATATTACTGTCTCTGAGACAGGACATGAAATAAAAGCCCAAATTTTCACTGTTCGCAAGTGTGCTTTTCCAAATGTTTGTGATCTTTCATAGTGTGACAATTTTTCTCTTTTTGCAATTCTCCCTACTCACCTCCACTAGCTCAAACAGATTGTGGCATGATAGTGATGTCACTGAAGCCAATCTTGAAAATCATAACAGTATTTCTTATGATCAACAGGAACGGAATGCTTATGTTTACCACTAACTTTTTGAAACAAAAGGTACTGAAGACTCTTAAAATATACATTTGTACAAAAAGTTCCCAAAGAAAATAAACATTAGTTTCAACAACTTTTGTCTCTGCTGAGAAAACCATTAGAGATTAGGTTTTCACTCAAATGCATTTCTCTGAAAGGTATAGGTCGTGGCGAAGCAATTCAGTGGTTATTTCCTCTCCCCCAAGAGCTCTATAAAACAAAGGTACTCCAAGACCAACAGGCTACTTCAGCTCCTCCCATGGAAAGAAAACTATTTTTCCATATTGATAACCGATTTTTAGACTTTGAATCATGTAATCTGACTGCAAAACTAAAGTGTATGTTCTTTTTTAGAACAGCCTACCTAGGTCCTCTAGATGACCAAGTATATTGATTTGCTGGCAGTTTTTCTCTCAAAGAATATTCAGCAACCATCATATCTGGTGATACATAGGCACCAACACCTACAAAAAAAGTGTTTTTAAGTAATTGTGGAAGAAATTCTTCACCTTTACAATGGACAAATACACACAATTTTCTACCTCAGTCATCTTCTTTTAAAGCAAAGATTAATGCAGCATGCCATACAGTAACAATAATAATTAATATATTAATACATTCTCTGTTTAATTTTATGATATTTTAGTATCATACAATAGGGCTACCATGAATTAAAGCTTTTAAAGCTTCATTTTAGCTGGGGTATTACACATTCCCTGCCAGCACAGATTATTTTTATACTTTTTTTTTTTTTGAAAGAGTATTTTGGCTTAGTTGAGGCTGTTACAAACTACGCCACCCTCACCTCAAAGCAATCAGTTTAAATTGGCTCATGTTCACGTGGCTCAGAGCTATACCATCTGGAGCAGATGGCCACATTCATTCAGCTCAAACGCTATCGTGATGAGGGAGTCATTACTCCAAAGTGCCCAAAGAATGAAAATGACTCTGCCAAAGCTGCTAGAGCTGTGGTTTTGGAGCGTAATGCCAAGGACGTGCACTGCCGACTCTACAGGGGAAAGTCTCATGCCCTTATGCTACCATGCATAGGGGGCGAACCAAACTTGGGCCAAACTGCCTGGCTGAACTAAGGTAACCTGTCAACTGTATTTTGGTTTTCCCCTCAAAGAAAACTACCTGGTTCACTCCAGGTGGAAGACAGGGTAAAGCTATTTTATACAGAGAGGGGATGATAAAGAAACCCAGTCTCTGGAGTAATACAATGAGTCTGCTGAGTTAACAGGGCAGCTGCATTGCCAGAATGAGGCCAATGCAGACCTTAAAAAGAGACTGTTAGTTCCAGTTCCGTTCCCCCAATCTCACTCACCGACAGAGTAATTGCAAATTAACTTTCAGAAAGTAATCACTGTTAGTTCTATTAGTTACCCTGAAATAGTCTCTCTCAGGCCTTCCAGTGTACAGGCTGCAGTGCCAGCCTGAGGATTTCTGTAGTAAACAAAATTCTTACAGTGGAAACAGAGAATTTATACAAAAAATAGGAAAATTAACCCTAAGTGCTAAACATTTTTTAAACTCTTGTATGTCAATCTTTCACTGAAACAACAAAAACACACACTGCTTATCAGAAGTACTAATTCTTACCCCAGTAATACATTTGCACTGACATGGCACCATAGCTTAAAGAATAGTTCCCTCAGAGACATCTCCAGGGAGTATAATGGGAATATCTTCTACTCAGGCTATAAAACTAGGTTTCACCATGAAACCTAGAGAGAAAACAATTTAGATTGCCCTAAATTGACAGAATTAGCATTTTAGGTTTTCTTTATGATTTTATATGAGATAAATATCATAAATTTTAAGCTTAATTTCCAAGTTGCATTTATTAACCATCATCTGAAAGAAATTGCACACTTACACAGTTATGTTAACTAGAATCATCTTTGAGTAAGATTTATTTTACAAATTTTATACAGTGTCACAGCAAATTAAGACCGCCTACATATGCCACCTCTCTTTTCTCCACAGGTAATTCTGTGGATTGTTAGATAACAATCTCAGCTTCTACACCTAAACATACAGTAAGTGCTTTCCAGGGAATTAACCTTGTTGCCTAATAAGTCTTGAAAAAAAACACCTTGATTAACAATTGCTTTGATCTCCAGCATGTAACACCAAGACACAACTTAAAGAGATGGCAGTTGAATACTGTGAATCTAAGTATTTTTTTTTTCCAAAACAAGTTATTTACCTATTACACTAGATGTAGTACCACCAGGACATCCTACTGTAGAAAGACAAGGGCCATTATTGCCTGCACTTGAAACATAGATTACGTTGTGTTTCCACACAGCTTCATTAATTACTTCACAAATTCTCCTAAAGAAAAAGAGGAAAATAATTCATTTAATCAA